AGGTTGTACCTCAAATACAATGACATAACATTCTTACCATCAACTATATTCCATTCATTGACAAAACTAACATACCTGCACGTTGGTTATAATGAACTGACATCTTTATCTACCACTCATTTCATTACATTGACACGTTTAAGATACCTCTACCTTTATAATAATAAATTAACTACTTTGCCACATGACATATTTCAATCATTGACTGCATTGTATTTTTTATCACTATCGTCAAACCATCTACATTCTCTAACGGTCCATAATGTAACACAGTTGGTCACCTTGGAGTTGCCAATAATAGATTCACAAATGTATCTTTTACACAAGACATACAAGAAAACGGACTAAATATTTATGGATTGCCAAATCTACATTATTTATATTTGGACAGAAATGACATTACACGTCTCCCTGAAACAATTGAAAATTTCCCCACGTTATATGCTCTGCAACTCTCATACAATAAATTTACACATTTACCCCAGCTTCCATCAAGGTAACTTATTTGAACTTTGGATATAACGAATTCTCACAGTTTCCTGACACTATTCAGAGATTATCGAATCTCCGTTATCTATACCTTTATGGCAACGAAATAAAGCATTTACCAAATTTTCACAATTTTACAAAACTACAAATGTTAAAGCTCTCAGACAATCCCTGGTCATGTGACTGTCACATGGAGGCTTTCAAGAGATGGATACACAATAACACACAAGTAGATACCCAACTAATCTGTCAATTTCCAATCGAGTATACCGGAACAGACATTGTCAATTTAGCAGTATCAGATCTTCAGTGTGTTCCACCGAAATTTAACAACTCATTTGAATATGTGTATGTTGAGGTAAACGAACCAGTAACACTGACTGTTGATGTTAATGGTGTCCCACTGCCACATATCCAGTGGATACCTCCTAATGGCATTGTAATTGGTACTGCGGTTGATTCTGTAGTACGTCTTGAACCAGACGGCAGTATCTTCATCACATCTGTCCAGAAAGACTTAGTTGGGCCGTATGTGTGCATTGCGAACAACGATAAGGGCCACGATGGAGCAGTACGATATCTACAAATACGTTCTCTGCCACTAGCCACGACCACTTATTCAACAACCTTGACAACCACTAGCTACATGACTGAGGCGACCAATAAAAGCGCCTCCAGTGGTGTAATAAGCACAACAGATACCACATTGCCTCATAGTATTGGTCAGACAACTGATAAAACTACATTATTCCACTATACAAACGTTAGCTCTAGTCAAAAACGTGATCACCTCTGCTCATACTTCGATCGCAACTCAAGTATCCGATAAAT